ACGGCTATGCTTCAAATAGAAGAGTGAAGGTAATCCGAAAGACGGGGCCACAAAGGCAAACTAAAATGGTAAAATCGTTTTCCTTTCATTTCGCAAAATATTTTTTATGGGTATATTCAATTTCGAGACCGCCATCAAATGTCCATGTTATTGAGACATTCGTCTGAGAACGTTTGTTAAGAACGGCCGAACCCGATTTTTCTTACTGGATGCCCTAATCTATTTACTTTCGTCAAGCGAGGACCTTTTTTACGCCTAGAGTCTCCATTGTCTTAGCTTACGTTGCATATTAATAATCTATTCTTAGATATCTACATTTATTTTTATGAATATAAATATATCTTATTTACATCAGCTCTGACTGGTACTTGTGGTTCAGAAAATTAAAGTAGAACTTGGCTTGAGGGATACATCATTCAAAGTAATTTTCAGAACTTTATGACAGCGCTTAATTTTGAATGATTTTGCAGGACTTTTTTCTGTGCAGGACGTTACATGATCTATGATCTTAAATGTGGATGTGTTTTTATAGAAAACGCAATATATTATTACAGACGGCTTTGCGCTGATAGTTAATTGAATTTTTTAATTTTTTTCTTCTCTTGATGCGTAAACGTTTAAAAGAGTTAAAGAGTTCTCGAGAAACAATAAGGCTTTTGTTTTATTCATTTGAGGTGAAAAAAAAAATCGAAATCTTAATTCTGGACAATTCCCCCTGCTTTCATTTTTATAATTCTCTAAAACGTGATTGTAGCAAATTCTCAATTAAAGAGAACTCATATAAGCATAAACGCTTCGTGTTCTCGATATAAGCAATGATTTAAGCAAAAACAAAATAATGGTTATTAAAATGAGACGGTGATTAAAGGATTATTACTGGGTTGGTGTTAAATAACTGAAGTTAATAAGAGCTTATCGTGAATAATTCCGCCTTAATTCAGTTGTCAATATGATTGGCAACTTTTGGCTAACACGTTCATTTCCTTTTTCCTTTGAACCATTGTGATACCAATCGTCTTTAAAAGCTTTTTTTAATGACAAACACTTTCTTTGTGTGCCAAAGTAATAAGTGTGTCTTGAAATCGAACTAAACCATTCAATCCGCCAAGATGGCACTAAATTCACTACTCCCTGCGCACCCGTATCCGGTTATAGAGAAATACTATTATTTACACTCAGCGAAGATATGAATTCAAATGCAACCTCACAGTTCGCGAGGACCGTTCAAGGATGTGAAGTGATCCCGCTAGGAACTCTCGATCATACAACACAAGAGGCGTACGGCTGGCTCGTCTTCATTACAGTCACAACCATCATTACCTGCCCCATCACAACTGGTTTGAACATACTGATCATGATTGCTGTAAAAACTAAACATCGAGTGAAAACCAAGTCTAACATTGCACAGGCTAGTTTGTCTTCTATGATACGGTTATGGGAGTGATAGGTCAGCCACTTTTCATTTCTTGGGTGATTGCAGAACTGCCAGGAAACACTTTCAGTACGTACTGTGTACGAATACAATTAGCGAGAATGGCCTTACGAGTGTAAGGTGTGGCATCACTGTTTCACCTGGCTATGGTGAACGTAGAACGCTACATTGCCATCAAACATTCTTTGACATATGAAACCTTAGTCACTGAAACTCGCTTGATTAGTGTTTTAGCAGTCATCTGGATCATAACAATTCATTTACAGTTAACCGTGCCTGCAGATAGCATAGACAACGATGATAATAATTATGTTATAATTGACACTGGTATAATGTTTTTATGCATCGCCACTATTTTCCTTTGTCAAGTGGTGCTTTACTTTGAAAACGCGTCGCCACGAAAAAGAGATTGCCTCTCAGCAAGTTTCGATTGAAGTCAGAGAGAAATTCATGAAGGAAAAGAAAGCTTTTAAACTGACCACAACGATACTATTTTTCTTGATGCTTAGCTATTTACCCTTATAGCCTCCGACTCCTTGTATCAACGTTTGTCATAACTTCAGTAAATTCCGCATACTTCGCCTTTTTCACAGGCGTTTTTACAGCGTGTTCCAATTCCCTTTTAAATCCAATTATATATTGTGTGCGAATTCAACAGTTTCGTGTTGCGTTGAAGGAAATTGTGCTAAGAAAATCAAACACACAGGCTGTGAACTGAATCAGTGGAAACTATTCCCTTTAATTAAAGTTTTAGTGAATACTTTGACAGCAGAAACTTTTAACCAATAGGTCCAACGTTTCGACGATGATCGTTTAGTATAAACAAAAAAAAAAAACAGGCAATTTTCGTGGTTTGAAATTGCAATAGCGAAGAAAATCACCTGACATTTTTGTTCCTTTGGTGACCATTTAGGACCGAAACTTAGCGTTAACGAAGTCCATTTCACGATAAACATTGGTTAATGATCTTAGATGACCAACATAAGTTATCGCGAAGTTAAAAAGCGGCAGTCTCGAGTTAAAAGGGCCGGCACTTATTCCCGTTGTAAAGAAGTCAGCTAAATTCGCATTTGACACCACTGTATATCGCCCATATAACTGGGAAACTTAGTAACTAAATAATGTTATACGTACATTCATATCCTTTATTTAAACACGATGTGGTTTAAAGCTCAAAGCCTGTGTGGTCGTGTAAAATTAAAATAATTACAAATGAATAAAACTAAATTAAAAATAAGAATAACATTACTTACAAAATACAACTACGATATGTTTATACTACTACATGAGAAATTTCTGCAATTTGATTGGCTTAGAGCAGTGGTATTTCAGCTTAATCTGATATACCTACATGTGAATACCTTTTGCGGGTAATAGTATAAACAAATAATAGCATGAGTTGCACGTGATTTTTGGCATAAATACCACTCGAGACATTTCACGTATAACAATTTTGAAATATCACTCGTGGTATTTATGCCAAATATCCTACAAATCATGCTATTACCTATACTAATTTCTCACGCGGTTGCCTGCTCGTCAAGATGGCTTCCAAAACCGTTACAAGGTCTATTTCAGTGGACACATAATTCATTTCATGTTGAGGCGCCTTGGTAAATTCTTTATTGTATTGATTTTGACAGTTCCCAAGGTAAGTTCTATGGGTTAATAAAAACCCAAAGCGGCTCAACCAATCATGAGAAGGTGAAATGTACCAAATGCAAGCAGTAGAAATTACGTTCTGTTTACGTGCTGTGTTCGTCTTGGCGCCAAATCCCACGCGAAAACTAAACTCAAAGTTCGAAAATTAAGTTTTCCTTAAATCAGTGATAAAGAATCCTTTCCTTATGAAGTCGTTACAACCATTTCAGTAAACCCGTTTTTTTTTTCTTAGCAAGAATTTAGGCTAGAGTTTGCTTTCCATTTAAGCGCGAACGAAAGTCGACATTCCTTTTTAGTCTCCAAGTTAAGGGCTGAATGGCTCTTGCCAAGCTTCTTGATGAGGTGGCTATATTATGTTTTTTCTTCTGTGAAAACCTAAAAAAGGCGATTGAAATAAAACAGATTTCCCAGTATCTGAACAATGAGATGAGCACAGGGCGATACTCCTTGACACACCCCTCTCCACCACGTATGAATAACACACGGAGGCCTTTATGCATGCATGAAGTGGCATTTACCTTTATTTCCATTCGAAATTCCTCTTAAATTATCTTGTTATTATTTTTAACCCTTACACGTTCTGTGACATCTTGAAAATCTTGTGCTTGTGTATTAGTACCGTCATAAGATCTTCTCGAAATTTACTTATGCAAATAACCGTCTACAGGGTATGAATCTATCTAAATCCTTACATATTTACGTTTCACTCTACGCGGCCACTTATTGAGAAAGAATGTGTAAAAGCATGCTTTATCCTGATTTAGCAATTACAGTCCAAGCCCAATAGCAGGTAAGTGGACAATTGAACCGTATCTTTTGTAAGTAGCATTTTCGGCGATAGGAAGTTTTACAGCCACGCCAGCCGCATCTAACGCTCACCGGGACTTTGATGCATTTGCGTACGTGTTTACAAACTTGTTTGCACACCCATTTCTTTACGAGACCTATAAATAGAAAAGACCGGAGAGTTAAAACTATTTTAGGTTATTAAATTAAATGCGAAACGGACAAACAGCTTTGAAGTGGGGAACTAATTTTTAGAAAGACCTGTTTTTTTTTTTCATCTCTACTGAGATCTTAACTTAAATTACTAAGTTAATTCATAGATAGAAGAGAACCAAACGTTATTGAATTATATCAAACCCTGGTACATTGTGTTGATGCGACTTATATCCCTCACACCTTTTAACACTTAAAAAAGCTGTTTCAGGTATCGTCCACATTAATCCAGAGATTAAGAAGGAATCCATGAAGAAATTGAGGAACTTTAATTTTCAGTGGACAAAACAAAAACCTCGTACCAGAATAATTTAAACAATATCGCATTCTTTTTTTACTTTTTTCAAGGGCTATAGATGTAACTAGTAATAGTTGACACTACAGCTGCCCCCGCTCTGTATATTGTCGGTCAATAGCATTCTTGCTCGTTGTTTAGCTCTTTGAAATATACCGATTCATAAGGAAGATTTTCACACATATTCCATACAATAGGTGAGATAAATACAGGAAACGCAAGGTTCCACGCACAGTTTCAGCTCGATTTACACAGCTTTGATCAAAACATTCTCAGTTTCGAGAATAGTTTATTCTAAACCATAAGAAAAGATTTAATAAGAAGTTGAATTTTTCGCTACTTCTCTTTCACTTTTTACATTCAGTTCATTTTATTTGCCGGAAAGGAAGCCTTAGAAATTAAAAGGACGTTTGATCAATTCACACTAGCGCATTCTAGTCTTGTTTTAAACTTTATAGCGGAAGGACATCTGTGAGAAGGGAATAAGTCAGCACAGAATTTGACTGCCCGGATTGGTGAGGACCTTGGCTTTGCCTTTGAATTTATACACATATAAGCAGACCTGGTCATTGGCAAATGTTGACCGCAGTAGCGTATTCTTGTTAACGTTTTCCGCCTGCCCGGATTGGTGAGGACGTGGCCATGTTTTAACATTGAAAGCACAAAACAGCTTAAGACTATGAAAAAATTTCCGTAGTTTTCTTATTTTGTTAGACCTAGTTTAAATAAAACAATTTTTTTGTGTGTAAAGGGGTCTTCAACGACAGAGAAGATGCCTTTTGCTTCGTTCTTACCTTTGCAAGGTCATCCAAACGTTAACTTTCCGTTGATTAGTTCATTTTTTTTTTAAAAAAGAACATGATTTCTATGGAATCATGCATTTTATTACCTTTAGCAAAATTTTTTCCTGCATCTATTAGATCTTTTTCACTTATTATGGAATCTTCCATTTCATCAGCGTCACTCTGTTTCTTTTCCAACTTCCGGATTCGGTAAATTGGCAACTTTTTACATAGATCCTTCATCTCGTCGCTCAGGTCCAAGCGGTCACTCAAATTGCCAACAATCTTGAAACTTTCCTCAGACGTAATGGTCACTTTAGAACCTGCACTTTTCTGCACCTAAAGGTGATGAAACCCAGCGTGAAAAATAAATAATTTTGAGTGGAATTAACAAGAGCTTACACGGATAAGGAAAATTCCAGGTATAACATAAAATAAATAAATATATTATTAATTTATATTACCAATATATAATTAAAAACCTATACATTGAATAATTGTTAGCCTGACGCTAATTAGCCTGTTATAGATCATGAGATACGTACCAACTGAAGTAGTTTCAGCAAGTCGGCAGGTCGAGGAACGTTTCCGATGGAGTATCTTAAAAAGCAGGCGTTTGCTTCTGGCAATCGAATCATTGTCAAGTTCTGCAGTAAAGTAAAGCAAATACAAAGTAATTGCCAATAGACAGAGACGATTAGTTAAAAGATGCAACTGTCTTCTAGTCTTTATAACTTTAATATAAAAGGCTGAAAATCCGAAGTTATCACTGCGCAGTTTTGCGAAAACGTCTCGTCTAAAATGGCCACAAAACATCTATTGTTTTGTTTCTTTCCGAGTTTTGCACCAAAATGAAAACCTATGGGGGAGTGCTTAGAAGCAAGGAGGAGTCCCCGTTGATTAACCTGTATAAAAGAGGAAGAGATACAATTGACCAGCGTGCTCAACAACGATAGTAGAATTTGAAGCTTAGACTGTCGCTTTTGTTTAGTTGGTTTGTTTCAAAATGATAAACGTCAATTTCTTAACGTCACTAGAAAAAAAAGGGAAAAAAGATCAGATTTAGGTTATCTTGACTGGTTTGAAAATTTATGCTAGTTGCTGACCTTGTTAAAGTCGTAGACATAGTCTCCTTCCTTCTTGCCCGACGAAGCAACACTAAGAGAAAAAGTCTCTGATTTCTTGTTAGCATCAACTTTGATCCTTTCGTACATACCTTTGGATACTTTGAATGTATAGGCCTGTAAAAAGACATGGAGAATAAGAAATGGTACGCATTTCTTATTAATGTAAAATGAATTGATTAAAATGAGTTCTTCTTTAGGTGTCACTACCGATACTTCAGAGTTATTTCTTTCACTATTAGTGTAAATGGATACCTTGTTATTATTATTACTATTATTATTATTTTTATTATTTTTATCACTATTATTATTATATAAATATATATATTTTTAAATCAAGACTCGAGGCACTCAAAACTTGACTTTAATTGTAAATGACATCCTTAACCTTTTATTCGCCGTATAAATCAATAACCCTAAGAATGCTAATTTAGGTGCGCGTGGCTTACAAACTCTTTCATTAAGCAACGATAGTGCTGCCCGAACAGGCCTCAGGATAAAATATTCAGCAACAACATAAAACGCCAGAGCATTTAATTGAGAAAAAAGGTCATTCTAAAGTGTCTTGATAAAAACGCAGTATTTGAAAGTACATTACCTTTTGCCCACTGTCCGCGTAAGAGGTAAGAATTAATGGGGCCATCAGCAAAAGTAACAGAATCAAGCGAGCCATCGTGATAATGAACTGTCGACGCTTTCTATGATCATGCAGCTGGGTAACAAAGCAGCTTCTTTTATGCAAGCCTGGCCATTGTGTTGAGAAAACTTGAATTTTTTCGGACAATGTTTTTACTTCCTGATGAACATATCTTTTTAAAGTTTCAGCTCAACAAGTTTTAATTTGTGTTTTTAAGTAACCGCGGAAGCCTTTAGCTTAAGATGAATTGAATTTGCATTTTTTCACCCAACGAGAAATAATATTATAATTTAGTAAGCGGGCGTTCTTTTCTAAAATTTTAAACACTGAAACGTTCTGCATGTTTCATGAAAATGTTGCTACGAGCTCCGTCTTTATCTTAAGAGACGGAGGAAGTATACGGAAGCTGACATTCGTAAAACACAAACCACGACTTCACTATACTTCACAGATGGACTGGAAACGATTTACTGTGTTTCAGCACGTCCACTTTGAGCAAACACATGAAAAAATTATGTGCACTAAATCATGAGCTGGAGTTCTTGATTTTGAACATTGAAATAAACGGAAGTTGACCAGCTTTTTTCATTCCTGTTAAGTGTTTCTTATGTTGGTTTTGAGTTCTCTTGCGCGAAACGAAATTCTAGCAGTGTGATTAATATCACCACGGAAGATTTTGCATTAATTTGTTGTTGTAGTGACTATTTTCTTTTGATACTCTCTGTTTTTTTTTTTTAACTGCAATTACAAGTTTTTTTGTAACCACTTCAGTACTGAGTTGCTTAAGACGGTAAAGTAATTATATATTCAGCAGACAAATAACTCAAGATTACGACTCTAGGGGTTCATTGAAAGTGTCTTTATCATTTATGAACGTTTCAAGTTCAACCGCCAGACTTACCTAGTGAGTACGCTTTGAACGCTGGCACGAGCCGCCCGGGACTCGATAACTGTCTGGGTTTTTCGTTTAGTTGAACTTAGTAAGGCAGCAAACATTGTTTCAACGCAATTGGCCACATTTCTTTGGCTGTGGAGTAAAAATTTCCCGGAAAAAAAAATAGATGAAGGAATATAAACTTCGGATGAAAAAGACGAGGTAGTGAATTTGCATATTACCAAGAAGTGGCGAATTAGATATTTCTAATGAGAATTTCCATTTTTCTCCTGCGACCGAAAGAAATACAAAAAGATCTTTTAACGAGTAAAGTTTTCAGCTGCTTTAATACATCATGAAAGTAAAATCTCAGTAGGGTCGATAGTTTTGTAGTTTGAATTTTAGTGACGTCATGTGAAAACCAACAATGTAATTTTACCTCAATAACTCGAATTCTCGATGACTCCAACTTTTTTCTGTTTCCCTTGATGGTTCGAATTACCAGGAGTCGACTGTATTATCATTAATATAATTTTTCGAACAAAAAAAAAGGAAAGAAAGAAATAAGAAATAACAGTTTATTGCTTACTAAAAAGGAAACTAGCTGTCGGGTGCAGTGATTCAATGTTGCCGCTGACAGGAGCCCATCACAGCTAATCTTGAACTCCTACTACTGATTATCAATCGAGTTCGCCGCATTGGATTACTGGATTTGCTGCAGTTCACGAGGAAAGGGGAAATTGAGAAAATGGCCTCTTTTTGCTAAGTTATTACGACAAAACTTGATTTATTTACCTTTTCATATGCAAATATGTTCTTTTATGCCCTTTCTTCCTAACAAATTATTATCATAAACCCAAAATGCTGCCTTGCCTGAACTATGTTTACTGGGCAAAAATACCACCATTCAACAATTGGAGTACATGGCTATGGGCACCATCCCATAACCGCATATATTCAAAATACTGTTCAATCAAAACCTTGATACAAAAATTGGCCCAGTAAAGGTGAGGGCACTGAAAGGGAACAGTGATACAATACAATAGTACATGTAATTAAAAATGGAGTGGCTAGGAAAAGCGAAGGAGGAGGGATGTAAAAACACGTTTTTGACCTCCGTCAAGATGAAATGAAGTGACGCTCACATGGATGCCTGGTCACTTTGCTCACACAAAAGTCCTAAAGGGTATTGGCTATAATACGAATGGATGCCACCCCAAGTCCCAGGCCCCCACGAACATAACAACTACTCAACAGGAAGAAAAGGCATAAAAATCCTAATCGCAAGCAAATTTTCCTTTAAAGTGTTTGCTATACGATCAGAATGTGTTTTCGAACAATTCTCGACAATTGAGCTGCTGGCGAGATTCCATTATTTAGATTTGTTATCATGGCTGAAGATTTCAGTCAGAAGGATAGTGTCGCTTTCAGGCTGTTTCTGAAAAGTTTTTTTTTTTGCTTTTTTTCCCCTTTTATTTTCAGACTAGTAAACTCTAACAATAATGCTGTATGTATTGAAAGTTAATTGCTATTTGCGTATGTCTGTTTTATTTTATTCTTTATATATGAATTTATTAACCAACTGAAAATGTTTCACGAGCTAAGGCGCTCAGCTGANAAAGTGTTTGCTATACGATCAGAATGTGTTTTCGAACAATTCTCGACAATTGAGCTGCTGGCGAGATTCCATTATTTAGATTTGTTATCATGGCTGAAGATTTCAGTCAGAAGGATAGTGTCGCTTTCAGGCTGTTTCTGAAAAGTTTTTTTTTTTGCTTTTTTTCCCCTTTTATTTTCAGACTAGTAAACTCTAACAATAATGCTGTATGTATTGAAAGTTAATTGCTATTTGCGTATGTCTGTTTTATTTTATTCTTTATATATGAATTTATTAACCAACTGAAAATGTTTCACGAGCTAAGGCGCTCAGCTGAATTTTTTTCTAATCCGTAGTGTAGCCAGAAAGAGCTCCTTTGTTTGCCGTGAATGAAAGCCTTATGTTAGATTACAATTTGAATAAAAAGGAAATTAGAGATGCAATCAATTTACGGTACGACTGGGAAATAACGGACACGCCCATGATCTGCGCATGCGGTGTTCAATTTAGCGTGGATCACACAATGGTGTTTCAGCGCGGCGGATTCATATCCAGCGCCATAACGAACTGCGCGACTTGGAAGCAGAGATGCTAAGGATTGTCTGTAATGATGTGGAATTAGAGCCGGTTCTTTCAGGAGGTCGCTGGGGAGACATTAAATCATGGCGCTAACAAAGCCCCTGATGCCCGCTTGGATATTCATGCTCGAGGTTTTTGGGAGAGATAGAGATCTGCATTCTTCGACGTTCGGGTATGTCTCCCTAATGCAGCCTCTTACAGAGAATTGATTTCTAAGCAAATCTACAAGAAGCATGAGAACGAGAAGAAGAGGTAGTATGCGGAAAGAGTAATGGAAATCGAACAGGGAACGTTCACTCTCCTAGTTTGCACGACCACAGGTGGAATGGCGGATGAGTGTGTTAAGTACCGCAGCAGACTTGCGGAGCTGATCGCAAATAAGAAGAGAGAAATTTCCTGGATAAGAGCTAAAGTATCTTTCTCCATCGTACGCTCTGCGATACTATGCTTGAGAGGCTCAAGATCCAGAAAACGACAGCTAGACTTTGTTGACTCAGATCTGCAGATCGAAGATACTAGAGCCTGCCCGAATTAATTAATTAATTTTTTAAAGGACTTTTTAAAGAATTAGGAATTTAGGAATACCAGATTTTATTCTTTTTAGCTTGTTTCTTTGTAATATCAAAGACGGATGATTCTCTTTTGTAATGACTTAATTTAAAACTCTGTACCGCCTGCAAGAGTTATTGATCGCATCTGTGCCGTAAGGAATATATTTGTTGATCGTTATTGACACAGTGATTGTATCTTTATTATTTATATAATTCTTCATGTTATATAGTGCTTAATTCTTACTTCAAATATTTCTGTAGATTATGTACATATTTTTAAAGTTGAATAAAATTATTATTGTTATTGTTGTTATTATTATTTTCAATTTGATATTTTTATTTTTTTGCACAAAATGACAACCCATTGCTTGTTTAAAGGAAAACTACTTCACAGGTGCAGTGATGCCAGTCTCGCTGTCAATTTTATCAGTTGAGTTTGCTGCTCAGGGGATTGCTTCGCTTGGGATTGAACATTTACTGTTCACGAGGAGAGTACAAATTAAGAAACTGGCATCATTATGCTAAATTTATTCAATTTCTAACATGCCGAATAAAGCAATACTGTTATTTTGGATCATAAGTTCACTATTTTTATTACTTTTTACAAATGTGAATTTTTATTCGCCCCAATTTCCCCTGCTTCCTTTTTATGATTCGCTAAAACGTGATTGTAGCAAATTCACAATTAAAGAGAACTCATATGAGCATAAACGTTTCGTGTTCTTGATATCAGCAATGTTTTAAGCAAAAACAAACTAATGGTTATTAAAATGACGGACGGTGATTATAAGATTGTTTCTGGGTTGGTGTTAAATAACTGAAGTTAATAAGAGCTTATCGTAAATAATTCCCTTATTTCAGTTGAAAATGTGATTGGCAACTTTT